CGATTTGTGCAAATAAGTGGTTTGCCAAAGTCACTTATAAATAAGACGTTAAGGCTTAGCTTCTAATCGTGCCAAAATAAAATTGATGCTGTTTTGTTATCTAGTATGTAGACTAGTTAACATTGATAAGAAATGTAAGTTTATTTTTCACATCAGTTTTCCGGAAATGATGGAATAGTCAAATGCCTTTTTTTGATATGCTGGTTAGGTTTTTATTTTTTTTTATAGTTTTGTTAAATATAAATATAACTGCTATACTTGTTATCTTCTGGATGGACCAGATTAAGTGGATATGCTATGGTTATTTAGTATATCATTTGGTCCGATTAGATAGGAGATTTAACTTTATGTGAAAGGGCTTGAAGAAGATATTCATAGGCTGATCTCAACCGAAGACGAAGGTTACTTCTCGTAGCTACGTAAAACTCTTGCAAGAATGGCTTCCAGTTCCGACGATGTGTGCCAAAGGACGCAGGAAGTCGCAGCTGGTATACAATATGAAATCGGTGGCAAAATCATACAAATGCTAAACAGTCGGAATCAGCTGTCGTCTTCTGATGAGATCGGCCTACTAACCGGTTTGTAGAGTCAATTTTGTTTTTATCTCTTGGCTTTTCCTGCAATGATGGATCATCGAAAAGCCGGTTTTCCGAGTGAGAACGTCCTCTTGGAGGCAAGGAAATGTGAAATGAAATGGATTACTGAAGTCTACCCAGTTCAATGTGGGAACATTCAACTATCAGCAACATGATCTCATGCGGCCTAACATGACAAAATGTTTATTCTGAATTAATTCAGTTTTAGGGATTGGCTTTTTAGTGGCAAATAAACTCTTCACTTGTCATCAAAACTAAATTTGCCCGCGTTTTTTTGCTTTAAACCTGTCTTAGCCTGTAACGGAGGCCTCGGTCGTGAAAGTCTGTCCAGCCCAGAACGTGTGGGCTATTTCTCTCTCTTTATGAGATGGATGTACTGATGACTCTTCAAGGCGCGAGTAACCGAGGCATTGCCTTGATCATTCTGTGGTTTGGTTGTCAAGACACTTTTTCTCGATCCCCTTGCTCAATCCCTGTCATGCCCACCTGGTTTCCTCCCAGTGTGGGCCGACAGGAGTGGATGAGACACCATCTTCAGATCGAGCTCTTGGTGGCTGTGCCAAAAAATTGTTTGACCAAACAGAGATTGCCGTCTGGCCTCATCAATCTATGCTTGGCCGTCCCGGCCCACTCTCGATTGCCCCGCCCCAGGCTTAGCCGGTCGAAGAAATCACATCATCATCATCCCTCCTACCTGGACGGGAGGGGGACAATGAGGCCTGGTCTCCGCTCTGGCTCGCTCCGCATCCTCTCAACTCCACACCAACGGACATGGGCATGGACAGGCATTAACTCACCGGTGAAGAGCATGCAAACGTGGCGAAAGCAAAAACAGACACAAAAACGTCTTCTGTGTCAACTAAGCCGGCCTAGGGTAATGAGACTAGGAGACTGTGCCGTCATGTGGGTGGGACAACTTGGCTTACGCCAAATTCGGGACTGAACTGGCAATCATGTTGAGTAATTTTTCGATTTGCTTACAGAAACAAGTAAACTCGGTGGCCAACGGGTGCAGAAGTTTGGACGTCAACAAAAACACTGACTCCAGGGAGAACTTTCGACGGTGACCAGGAGGATCGCAGCCTCTCTGACAGGATTTAACGAACCGTTCTGAAGAGTATCTAGCCACAAATTAAGCAGAGTTATTAGTCTAGATTCTTCCTTTTCGGTATCAACTATTGTCGAGCATCATCTTCTTCAGCCTTACAAGATGGACAGCATGCACTTTGAAAGAGTTTTATCCTTTGGCCTAGAAAAATTGCCTAAAAAGTTTTATTAAATGATACAGATTTTCTCAAAATCCGCTTAGAGAAGGCCCCTGGGCCTCCTAACATGTTTCTTGGGCCGAAATCTGCATAACATTGCAAAAGAAAGCTTATCCTTGGCGATTACATAAAGTGAAACTGGGTCCCGAAAAGTGCCTTTATGTACTATTGTGACATGACTTTTCATCTCGAAGGAAAGGTTGGTTGCAAGGAATTCGTGAATTGGTGTGACATCAGCCGCTGAGTGCAGGTTTGCTGAATTGTGCGAACAAGGCCTTGGCTCCTTCGTCCTACACCCCCGATAAATGAGTGATAAGTCTTTCATCGCTAGAGCTAGAAAGTAAAACTGACGAAAAAACCTGTCAAATACAATAGACCAAGAAACATAGTTGGCCCGATATAATCACGCTCATTAGGCTCGCAAAGTCTGACTTCCAAATGACAGACGTAAATTTAGCGCGGGTTCAGCACGGTCGTAGGATGGGGAGCCGAGGACTTGTTTGCACAATTCATCAGTCTTTCCAACAAGGCAATCCTCCTCCGGTG